TTAGGTGTATTAAATGCATTTTTGACTTAGGATATTTTCAATTTGTGGTAGGTTTATCAGGACCTAATCCCATCATATGTTGAGGAGAATCTGTATTTATTTTGCCTTAAATTATAATTTTTCCTATACGTGTCTTAATTTGATTCCCTGCAGCCTAAGACAGCTTTGAACATTGAAGGTACAGACATACCTCAGAGATGTTGTGGGTTCAGTTCCAGACCACTGTAATAAAGAAGTTGTTACAATAAAGCGAGTAACACAAATGTCTTGGTTTCCCAGTGCATTTAAAAGTTATGTTTTTACTGTAGTCTGTTAAGTATGCAGTAGCATTAAGTTTCAAAAAACAATGTATATACCTTGATTAGAAAATACTTTATTGATAAAAAATGCTAATGATCATCTCAGCTTTCAGCAAGTTGTACTCTTTTTACTGGTGGAGGGTCTCACCTCAGTGCTGATGGCTGCTGACTGAGTAGGGCGGTGGTTGCTGAAGGTTGTGGGGGCTGTGGCAGTTTCTTAAGATAAGACAACAGTGAAATTTGCCGCGTTATTTCTTTCATGAAAGATTTCTTTGTAGCATGTGATGCTGTATAATAGCATTTTAACCACAGTAGAACTCTTTCAAAATTGGAGTTAATCCTCTGAAACCCTGCCATTGCTTTATTAACTAAGTTTATGTAGTATTCTAAATCTTTTGTTGTCATTTCAGCAATGTTCACAGCATCTTCACCAGGAGTAGATTTCATCTCAAGAAACCACTTTCTTTGCTTATCCATAAGAATCAACTTCTCATGTTTTGGAGTTTTATCATGAGATTTCTGCAATTCAGTCACATATTCAGGCTCTACTTCTAATTCTAGTTCTCTTGCTATTTCCACCACATCTGCAGCTACTTCCTCCATTGAAATCTTGAATCCCTCAAAGTCATCAGTGAGAGTTGGAATCAACTTCTTCCAAACTCTTGTGAATGTTGATATTTTAGACCTCCTCTTGTGAGTCATGAATATTCTTAATGTCATCTAGAATGGTGAATTCTTTCCAGAAGGTTTTCAATTTACTTTGCCCAGATCCATCAGAGGAATCACTGGCAAAATGTATTTCTTAAATTATAAGACTCGAAAGTTAAAATTACTCCTTGATCCATGGACTGCAGAATTGGTGTTGTGTTAGCAGGTGTGAAAACAGCATTAATATCCTTGTACATCTCCATCAGCGCTCTTGGGTGACCAGGTGCATTGTCAGTAAGCAGTAATATTTTGAAAGGAATCTTTTTTCTGAGCAGTGGGTCTCAACAATGGGCTTAAAATGTTCAGTGAAACAAGCTGTAAACAGATGTGCTGTCATTTAGGCTTTTTTGTTTTATTTATAGAGCACAGGGAGGGTGGATTTAGCATTATTCTTAAGGGCCCTAGGATTTTCAGAATGGTAAATGAATATTGGTTTTAACTTAAAGTCATCAACTGCATTAGCCCCTAACAAGATAGGAGCATTGAAGCCAGGCATTGACTTCTCTCTAGCTATGAAAGTCCTAGCTAGCATCTTCTTTCAACATAAGGCTATTTTATCTATATCAATAATCTGTTTAGTGTCACCACCTGCATCAGTTAGTTTGGCTAGATCTTCTGGATAACTTGCTGCAGCTTATACATTAGCATTTGCTGCTTCGCCTTGCACTCTTATGTTATGGAGATGGCTTCTTTTCTTAAGCCTTGTGAACCAGCCTCTGCTAGCTTCAAACTTTTCTGCTGCAACTTCCTCCCCTTTCAGCCTTCATGGAATTGAAGAAAGTTAGGGCCCTGCTCTGGGTTAGGTTTTGGCTTAAAGGAATGTTGTGGCTGGTTTGATCTATCCAGACCACTGAAATTTTCTCCATGTCAGCAATAAGGGTATTTCTCTTTCTTATTTGTTTGTTCACTGGAGTAGCACTTTTAATTTCCATTAAGAACTTTTCCTTTTCATTCACAACTAGCACAAGAGGCCTAGCTTTCCACCTGTCTCAGCTTTCAACATGCCTTCCTCACTAAGCACAATTCATTTCTAGCTTCTGATTTAAAGTGAGAGACTTGTGACTTTTCCTTTCACTTGAACACTTAGAGACCACTGTAGGGTTAGGAAATAATTGGCCTAATTTCACTTTTGTTTTTTCTCAGAGAATAGGGAGGCCTGAGGAGAGAGAGAGAGATAGGGGAATGGCCAGTTGGTGGAGCAGTCAGAACACACATTTATTGATTAAGTTTACCAACTCATATGGGCACTGTTCATGGCTCCCCAAAACAATTACAATAGTAACATCAAAGATCCACTGTTCACAGACTATCATAACAGAATAATAATGAAAAAGTTCGAAATGTTGTAAGAATTACCAAAGTGTGTGTGACACAGAGACACAAAGTGAGCACATGCTGTTGGAAAAACGGCACTGATAGACTTGCTTGATGCAGGGTTGCCACAAACCTTCAATTTGTGAAAATCAATTTGTGAAAATGCAATATTGGCAAAGCACAATAAAGCAAAGCACAATAAGATGTGGTATGCCTATGGTCAGTACTTGTTGACTTGATATTACATGCAAAAACCTATCGAAATAAGACTAGACAATCCTGATGCATTTTTAAAAATTGGAAGAACATGGCAGTATGGTAATGATTAGTATATTTATGATCATTTTTGCTTCCTTTTATTTGGAAATCTTTTAAAAATTTTTGGCATAATTAAATATGGCATGCATTTCCTGGTTTGGTGAAAAAGTTCATATTTTTAGCTATCTTTTTTTAAAAAAAGAAGATAAATAATAAAAGTCTGTTTGAGAGAGGTAGGAAGGACCTGCTGTTTTAATTTTGTTCACAGCAGTGGGTCATATTATGTTCTTTTGGTGGAGCTTTGATAATAGATTCAACATAATATTGGAATTCAACAATTGGTTATTGTTGAGTATATCATCTTTTGCATTTATGGCTATCAGGGGGATTGTCAGACTGCTTAGAATAAATTTATGGCAAACAGTCTACTCTTCTCTAAATATAATGTTTCCATTTATTACTTATACTAGCATTTTATATGTGGATTGTCTTTTGTTTTTATTTTACTTATTCTGTGTTTTCTTCTCGGAGAAAGGCAATTAAACCAAAATTTTCCCACCAAGGGGGGATGGGGAATCTCTTTATTGATTACCCATGCAAATGTTGAAGGATATTTTTTGTTTTAAGTTTCCTTGAAATATGCATTTTCCCTCTTCTGACTTGCTGATTTACTTTAACATTTCATTCAAACAAAAAAGAACTTAATCAAAACTTTTAGTAAATATTTACATGGTGATAGAGGATTATTGAGTTCTCAGCTGAGCCTCTGTTAAACTAGAAGTTCTGACTATGTTTTTATAGTTTTTTAATCTAATTGTACATACATTTGCCATTAATTTGGCTGAACTCTTGAAACATCCTAAAACTTGTTTTTTTAAAATCTCCTTTGAGGGAGAAGTCCTCTTATTAAGATAATCTCTTTACAATGAACATTCGTCTTTTTTTATCCTGTATCACTTGGATTTTATGAAACTGCTAAGAAAGCAAAAGGTATACAGGAGACAGTAACTCAAAGAAGTCTTTAGGCTCTTGGACTAAGATAGCAGGTAAAATTTTCACAAATTATGAGACTGACAAAAACATTAAATATCCATTGGAATAATAAAGCAGATTAAAGCAATCAGTAATGTAATATTCTTAAGGCATTTGACAAATACCAAAATATATAAAATGATTAAAGTTTTAGTTCTAGTGACAGAAACTTAAATTCTCCTTTATAAAGTTTCTGTTGTTACTGCTGAATTATTGCAAAAGTAACACATGTTCATTCAAGGGAAAAGTATAACAACTCTAACTTTATATAGAGTTTATTATATTTTGCTGTTTAGTGTAAACTTGTTAGTCCTTATAACAATCATATGAGGCAAGTACTGTTATTTTTCCTATTTCATAGATGAGGAAACTGAGCACAGAGAAACGAGGGGACTTTGCCAAGGCCTCCCAGTATTTGAACCCAGGCAGTCCGGACTTAGAGTCGGTGCCCCTAACCTCTACTTGGTATTGCTTCTCAACAGGTGGTTAAGAACTTGGAGTTTGGAGTAGGATAAGACCTAGGCTCAATTCATTGCTGCCATTTATAGTCCTGAAATGAGAATATGTCTTTTGACCTCTGTGGGCGTCGGTGTTATCGTTTATAAAACAAGAGCTGTTTTAGGGATAAAATGAGGTATATATGTTAACTGCTTAGCATACAGTTTAGCAGACATGATGCTTGTTCAGTAGATGGTAAGTATCATTATAATGAAATACTGAGAAGCAAAATGAAAAAGTCACCAAAAGAAAACAACCATTGCTAAAGTTTTGAATTATATCCTTTCAGTCTTGTAAACATGTTTCTTGATATTATTAGCTTGTCTTCTTTTCTTTATTTATCTTAATATATTTTCCTTCCTTGTATAACTTTTTCTTGTTTATGTTTCACACAAAAGGCAGGAAAGCTTGAATTTGCCTGTATCACATAGCAGTAAGGCAAACCTGATTCAGCTTCTGTGTTAGCCAAAACTTTGTTTTCCCTGTGTTTGGGAATGGGTAGGTGGAGATGAAGGAAGACTTAGAAGTTTTTTCTTTTTAAACAAAAATGGATTACATTTGAATTAAAATTTCTGATATGATGTCTATAAATCAACAAAATGTAGGATGCTAGAAGTAGACTAGAGAACATGTGCTAATATTCATTTTATTAAAATAATATTGAAATCCAGTTGCAGAATATTTAGAGTTGTTAACTGAAAACACTGAACGAACAGTCCTAGTGAATGCAGACCAGTTCTTCTTGATGAGTGAGACAGTAGAAGTCTGACCATACACTGCATTGTCAAATAAATTCATTGAGTATGGTATAGCAGTAACTAAACTAATCCCTCTTACTGTATCCTTAGCAACAAAGCATGGCTAATGCTCTTTTCTTTTTTCTTCTTTTAGATCTACACACAATGAGCTGGAAAAGAATCGGTGAGTCAGTGATAAGGTGCAACTTTCAAAAAACAAACTCAAACTTACCATTTTACCTATGAAAATAATGTAATAGTACATATGTAGGCGTAATTTTATTTTTAAAATGTATAGCATATAATGATTCTGACATATATGTATTTTCTCCAAAAAATGATGTAAATAGTAAACTTATACTATCTAAACTGGAAGAAGAAAATATATTTTTAAGCTCATTTGAATTTTGAGTTTATGGTGTAACCTCCTTTTTTCTGTCTTTGAAAACAGGTTAATAATCATGGTAGACTCATTGCATAAATAATAGTCTTGTAAAGGATGTTTCTGAAGAGTAATAAGTATGACAAATTGGAGGGCATTTATTTTGTTCTTTCTTGCAGTTCGTTCATTCATTCATTCATTCATTCATTCACTCATTAATGCATTCAACAAATATTTATCAAGCTTGAACTGTAAGTCAGTGCCAGGCAAGCAGAATGTTTTACATAGGAAATATAAAATGTGTGAGACAGTTTCTGTCCGTAAGGAAGTCACAGCTTATTGGGGAAGAGAGACAGATAATTAAAATACTGTGTAATATGGTAAGTATGGTAATAGAGAAGCAGAAGGTACTAGAGGGTATTGAAAGATTATTTTGGAAGGTTACCTGACTCCCCTTTGAAAGGAGTCTTAGCAGGCTTTGCAGAAGATGGTGAGTGAGCACTGTATACTGAGGAAACTGCCAAGAGGTTCAGTTCAGTATGAGTATAGAAGATTATAGCATGAAGTAAGCCAGACCAGATGTTGAAGAATCTTACTATCCTGAAGAGTTTGGACTTTTCTTGAGAACAATATGGAGCAGTTGAATCATATTAAGATTGGTTGTCATATGATTAATGTTTTGGAAAGATCTCTTTGGTTACAGTATGAAGAATTGGTTGATTGGGAGAAGGGATTCCAGAGGCATGAAGACCCTTTTGAAAGTTATTACAGTAATTCATGTAAGAGATGATGATGGCCATAGAGATAGAAGTAGAAAAAATCAAGAGAAAAATTGGTGATTTGTTGTCTATGGATAGTTAAGTTTTAGATGGTATTACTATTTATTTACTCAGAAAAGGAATATAAGAAAAGGACAAGTTTGGGAGAGAACACGAGAATTGTAGGAATAAACTATTCTCTTTTTGGTATAGAGATTAGATTAATAACCAACAAACTGGAATCATTTGCACCAGCCCTTTTTGACAAACAAGATCTCATGACCTTCAACTTTTTGTCATGCCTTTTTAAAACAGAAGGTGTCTTACAGATTGACTAGCCTGCCTCATTGCATGTGAGTTTAAATGTCAAATCCCCTTGAAAAGGCTGAGTATAGTCCTTTAGACAGACTTAGTGGCTTTTACCACTTTGTTTGCAAAGTGCTCTGTTCATATCTCCTATTGTAATACTGACTAGGTAGCACTGTAATGATTTTTTCATATGTCTCTTTCTGTCAAATGACTATGGATACTGTTTTGTTCAATTTTATGTCCTCAGTGCCTGGCATTTGATGCATGTATAGTAAACGATGGCTTTAATATTGAGGGATGGATAATACTGGAGCTCAAAATTCAGTGGTCTACTTAAAGACATTTTGCTAGTTAGTGGCAAAGCAGTTCAACAGGAGAGCTTTCATTTTAAAGAATCTCTTTTCTGCTTTATATTTCTGGTATATTAAAGATCTGGATGGATTAAAGGAAGTATCTGGCTGGTTTAAACATAGCAAAAAAGACCCAAGAAATGACAGCTCTCAGGATTATAAAAATAAATCCTTATGTTGAACTTTACTCTAAATTAGAGCAGAGTATATTTTGTGTCATATGGGTTAAATACTGATAAACATGTGGCTTTTATAATTGTTTCACCTATCTCGAAGAGGCCCTTGGGAGATCCCCACTGGAGACCAGGCAAAAACCTTTGTTTAATACTGCAGTAAAGAGACTCTTTTTTAGTAACTGTTTGGAAAAGAGTTTTTTAAATCTTTGAGTAAATTTGAATGCATTCTGAATATCATTTCTCATGATAACTTTTAAGAAAACTTCAGAGAAGAAGATATGTCACTATCACTCATAGTATTACTTTGATACTATATCACTCAGTATTACTTTGATGTACCCTATAAGCTGGTTAATCTAGTATCAGGCTATGACACAGGTGTAACATGAATGGTTTTTATTTCCTGGGCTGCATGCAATCTCCAGTGCAGGTCTTTTGTTCTTATTTTATTTACTTAGGTCTAAGATTTTCTGTCTGACTTCCTACCCTACCTCACTTAAGGTATGATAGCCCTAAAGGGCTAATAGACATTCTTTATTAGTGCAGAAGAGCTAATACAAATTCTTTATTTCTCAAATTATAACTTCCCCCCTCCCTTCTTTCCTTCCTTTTTTTTCTTTCTCTCTCCCTGTCGTCCCTGAAGCGTCATTGAAAGGTGATATAGAATTAACCTTTCCAAGATACAGTTGTTTTTAAAAGGGTTTTTAAAAATCAATATAAATAAAACTAGTTTAGTAGCATGTTTCAGAGGTTTCAGTGTGAAAGGAAAAATCAAATTCAATAACCTGTACCATACTTCTGAAAAGTTACCAGCTTGTGATCTGGCAAAAACTAAAAATATTGGTAGACACAAGAAGATTTAAAGGGGGCGGGGAGCGGGCAGTATTTTAGTCAAATAGCAAGAAGGTAGCACAGGAATATTTTTAAAATTTAAGCCTATATTGTTATTACATAGTTTAGCTCCCACTTCCCACAGTTCTATTTAATAGCCCTTTTTAACAAACCACAATTTTTACTTGATGTGTCAAAGGAAAAAAAGTTAACCTAACTTTGACATCCTTTAAAATAAATAGAGTTTTGGCTTTATTTTTTATCTGCCTGTGAGTGATTTATGTGAGGAAAGTAATTCACTATCAAAAAGGTAATTTAATTTTGTCTTCATTCTGAAAAGACATTCCTGAAGTAATTCATATTCTTGAAATTTTGCAACATATTCAGTATAACATATTCATGTCAGAAACTTCTTTTTTCCTTTTTAGCTTGGTTCTAAAATCTTGCATATAAAGCTCTGCTGAGTTTCTGCCTTTTACTGGGGCAAATGCAGTGAGAATTAGAGTAGGTGATTTTAAATTGTTAGTGAGTGGCATTGTAATTACAGATGGCTATCTTAAAGCCTGCAGTCTGGCCTTTGTTTAGATTCATTCTCCCAGATCTCAGAGGGAAGCCTGATGGTGGAAATTTGGGGTCTGGCAGGCCCAAAGTAGTTTGCTGTGACCCACAATTACCCCAGGATGCCTAGAGCCCATTAAGGAGCTTTAGGTAGTTTTATGACTGATTTAGATATTCAGATTATTTCTTGGATAGGTCCTGGGAGCTAATTTCTGCCTAAAACCCTAGTCAAGATGGTTCAGAGCATTTGATACCTGTGTACTAACCCTGTCCTCCTAGACCCACAACAGGTCCAGGAGGTGGAAGTGAAGCAGAATACCTTTAGTTGTTCTGCATTCCTCAGGAACCTATATGAATCATCTCCTAGTAAACTTAATAAGTCTTTGAGATTGAAGAATTAAGAATTTACTTTGCCCAGGGCTTATCTTATGAGTTGGGTCCTTTGCCAGAGACGAAACCAGTACAGATTTTAGATCGCTTCCTCGCTTTTTCATTTTCTTAATTCAAATTACTGATGATGTTTTCAAAAGAACAATTTTAATAGGACTTTAATGGTCAAGAACCTTAGTGCTTACTACAGGAGAGGCCATTCAACCTTAATAGCTGTCGTTTATAGAGTTCTTACTGTGTTCCCCCACTATGCAAGCCTATTACATAATTCCATATGGTGGGAAGGCAGAAAGTGCGGATCAAAAGTGTCATTGGAAACTGGCCATTCTGACCATCATAACTATAATTTGAAATAAGATGGATATGATCACAGAACAGTCCTAATCATGACTCTACCTGGTCATGAATATGATAGCTATGTTTAATATCAATCTTTCTCATCAGTAATGATTAATAAATACCGTACTTGGCATCATGATAGATACTGACCCTCTCCTATCCGTAAGATTAAGGTCATTATAATTTGGTATTTACAGGTTTCATCTTTCAATACTATGATCCAGTTAGGTGACCAGTAAATGTCTAGAAAGGTACACTAATGTGTTTTTCAAACTGAAGGCTGAAACCCATTAGTAATCTGTGTGATGGTTTTATTTATTTATTTATTTAAATTTTATTTATTGAATCAAAATTGATTATACATATTTTGGGGATTCAACATGAGATATATTGATCAAATCAATATAACTAGCATATATATTGTTACAAATCATAATTATTCTTTATGCCCTTTGTCCAATCTCTCCCCATCCCCCCCCATCCCCATCCCCCCTCAAATTACCCTAGATTTCTTCTCTCCTTTTTTTTTTCCTTTTTGTCTTTTTTCGTGACCGGTAACGGGATCGCAACCCTCGGTGTCGCGGCCGCACC